CAGCTCTGACTTGACCCCAAATAATACTCATTTGACCTCTTAAAATGAAAACAGGAGTAAGGGGAAGGCTATACCAAAAAAAATTAATAATTGTTACATATGGGTTGGGATAATGAATGATTTTACTATTGCTTTTCTAATTTTTTAAACTTCTAAATTTTCATAAGCAAACATTTACTAGTTTTATATTTAGAAAAATATCCACGAAGGAAGCAATGCTTTAGAAAACCAAAAAAAACTATTGTGTTCCCAGAACTTTGCTCAGTATCTTCTGATGGTTACTGCTGTTAGAAAAATAAGATAATTCTCTTTGCTTAGAATTTTTCACTATTACAAAGGTATCCATAAGTAGTTTTTTCTATTCTGTTCTTTTCTTTCCTTGCCTTTCCCTCCCTCCCTCCCTTCTTTCCTTCCTTGAGTTAAGGACTCACTCTGTTGCCCAGGCTGGAATGCAGCAGCATGATCACAGCTCACTGCAGCTTCTACTCCTGGGCACAGGTGATCCTTCTGTTCTCAGTTTCTCGAGTAGCTGGCATATGCCACCATGCCCAATTAATTTTTTTGATTGTTTTCAGAGATGAGTACTTGCTATGTTGCCTAGACTGGCCTCAAGCAATCCTCCTGCCTCAACTTCCCAAAATGTTGGGATTAAAGACGTGAGGCACTACACCCAGGCCCATAAGTAGATATTTCTACTTTGAGTCTTATTTGGGATACTTACATTGCTTCTCAAGCAAGCAGACTTCTGTTCTCATTAGGCGTTCACATTTTAAGTTTTTTTTTAACTTACAGTCATCTATTCTGCACTTTATCTTTTTACCATACCATTAAAAATAAGCCCTCTAGTGAAACATCCTAAGTGTCACTATCTACCCACAGAATGGAATTTGGTCTCCTCTCCTCCACATGACAGAGTTTTACCGGCCTCTTATCAGAGCAAACATCTTATTTTCTCATTAAAAGCTGTTGCTGTCAGAGAAACAATAGCCAGTTCCCCATTTATGACTAATGATAGCCAGACATTTGATTGAAAGTGAATAACACCAGAAATGCAAAGTTCCACATATATTCTTTAAATAATAGCATTGTCAAATAAAGACTCTTAGGGCAAATAAAAAAGTTTAAAAAAAAAAAATAGGGAAAATGTGCCTAGCATGAAATATCGGCCTATCAAAAAAAAAAAAATTATTTCTGCTCAAATGATAATGTCTTAGGTACCATAAATCATACACTAAAATATTTTAAAATTGGGCAGTCTCCTTGGGTCCCCTCCCACTGTGAGAGCTTTTCTGTCCTCTCAATAAATCCTGCTTAAAAAAAAAATGTTGGAAGTGCATGAGGCTGCATATTTACAGGTGCGCTTGTCCTAGTATCTGTGTTGGGGCCACATTGCAAGCTGCCCTGTGATGGCCCCGGGTGCATCCCACGCAGAGTAAACCTGGCAGTGTAGAGGAGCAGGAGAGGACGCTCCGAGGCTCGTCTTTGTGGCCCTCTTTCAGTCTGCACATCACGTGGACTCTGAGAGCCAGCAGGCAGGCTCTGGGGCCACTGTGAAGGTCACAGCTGGGGAGGGACCTTCGCAGCAGACACATGAAACTGAGTGTGGCAGTGCCCAAAGAGGGAGATGGCCCGTGTGCCCAGCAAGTCTTGCTTGAGCCCAGTGACCTGCCCATGGGTTCAGGGCTGATGACTTACCACAGGAGGCAACATCAGCTAAGACAGTTCAAAGGCTGAAAACCAGCCTGAGACTGGGAGTCTTCTTTGCCCAGGTCACAAAGACATGCAGCCTCTTTTGCACACACCCAAATTCCATCTTAGGGAGGGAAGCGAGGATACTTGAGAGACTAGAATTTTCTATGCAAGAAAGATGAACCAATCCTAAAGGGACTAACTTCTTAAATAAGATGAAACTTTTAATCACAGAAGAATAAAAGTCCATTTTTACCCTTGATAAATAGCTGATGGAGGCTGGGATAATGATCAGATTAGCTACGGTTGAAGTAAAGCAAATTAGATTTCTTTATGCATTCAAAATACACTGTGAGTTACACTCTGTTTCCCCATAGAATGATATTTACTGAGAACAGCTTTTGCCAAGGGCTGTACACGCATTACCTCATTTAATTCTCACACAAGCCCTTTGTGAGGCACAAGCCTTATCATCCTCAACTTATCCTTCAGGAAAATGAGGCTTAAAGAGACAAAGCAGCTTGAACAAAGTCACGTGGCTAGTAACAGAGTTGGGATAGAAAACTGACTGCTTACTTAAATGTTGTAATTTAAAAGTAGTTAAAATATACTTAAATAAATTAGATTTTTGAAATGGAAAGATATTGAAATGAGAGACTTCTGAATAAAGAAAGCTAGGTGTTCTCATAAAGGAGTATTTGCTTTCCATTGTGAATTTGAGATTTTGGTCTTCAGACACATTGTAAAGAAAACTGATGCCTGAAAGGGGCAGGTAAAATTCTACTAATTTTGCCAGCAGAGAGGAAGTAATATCTATCCACTGGAAAGACACCTTCAGTACCATTGGATAGAGAATGCCACTGGTGAGTCACTCTTCTCAGACTATGCCACCAAACAGCCTATAAGGTAGAAGCTTACAAGGTATGGACTTCAGAGTCAATGAAGTCTCAGTTTAATTCCTGTTCACTGCATAACAGCTATGTATGTCAGTGACCATTTTAAGTTCATTTCCATGAAGTTAAAATGGTAACATGTCAAATCAGGATTAAATAAAATAACATAAATAACACATTTAACATGGTGCCTGCCACATAGTTGGTGCTCAAGATTGTCAGTCTGCATCTAGCTCAAACCCATTTTGTTTTAGTGAATCCTAATATTATCTAGTTCTCTGAGGCTCAGTTTCAGTCAAACAATCACTTTAATTCCTAGATCTTATTTTATTTTTTATATTTAACAAATGGGAACATGCATTTGATTTAATATCTTGGGTTGCAAAGAGAACAAAAGAAAAAACCTCCTGAAGTTTATTTGTTAAGTTTATAAAATACATTTGTTATGAAAAAATATTCCATGCTCGTGGACTGGAAGAATCAACATTGATAAGATGTCCATCCTACCCAAGGCAATCTACATATTCAACACAATACCCATTAAATTACCAACATCCCTGGAAATGACAATACAGAAATTCACATGGACACACAAAAGACCACAAATAGCCAAAACAATTCTTAGAAAAAGAAATAAAGCAGAAGATATCACACTTTCTGACTTTAAACTTTATTATAAGGTTATAATAATCAAAACTGTCTGGTATTGGTACAAGAAATGCACATAGACTAATGAAACAGGCTATGGATTCCAGAAGCAAAACCTCAATTTCTCAACCAACTCATCTCTGATAAAGTCTCCACCAATAACCACTGGGAGAGGAGAACCTATTCAGTAAATGGTGCTAGGAAAACTGGCTGACCACATGCAGAAGAATGAAACAGGACCCCTATTATCACCATACACAAAAATCAACTCTAAATGGATCAAAGACCTAACCGTAAAACCTCAAACTATAAGAATCTTAGAAAATGCAGGAGACATCCTCATAGACATCAGAATAGGCAACCAGTTCCTGATTATAACCTCCAAAGCCCATGATAAAGAGACAAGATAGGCAAGGGAGACCTCCTTAAAATGAAAAGCCTCTGCAAAGCAAAAGAAACCATCAAGAGAGCAGGAGACAGCCCACAGAATGGGAAAAACTATTTGCCAACTGTGTATCGGATAAAGCCATAATAACCAGGATCTACAAGGAACTCAAACGTGCCAAAAGGAAAAAACAAACAAACAAACAACCCTATTAAAAAATGGGCAAAAGGCAAGAATAGACACTTCTCAAAAGAAGACATAGGAGCAGCCAACAGACACACGAAAAAATGCTCAGCCTCACTAATCCTCAAAGAAATGCAAATCAAAACCACACTGAGGTACCACCTAACTCCAGGCAGGATGGCCATCATCAATAAGTCAACTCAAAAAACAACAGATGTTGGAGAGGATGCAGATAAAAGGGAATGCTTCTGTACTGTTGGTGGGAGTGTAAACTAGCACAACCTCTGTGGAAAACAGTGTGGTGATTTCTAAAAGATCTAGAAATTGACCTTCCATATAACCCAGCAATCTCCCTTCTAGGAATATACCCAGAGGAACTCAAATCATTCTACAAAAAAGATATCTGTGCATACAAGTTTATTGCAGCACTATTTACAACAGCAAAAACATAGAACCAACCATGATGCCCATAGAAAGTGGATTGGATAAAAATAATATGGAACATACACACAACGAAATATTATGCAGCCATAAGAAGTACAAAAGTATGAATTTTGCAGCAACTTGAATGAATTTAGAGTCTATCATACTCAGTGATCTATCACAGAAACAAATAACTGAGAGCAATATGTTCTCATTCACAAGTGGACTCTGAACAATGATCATAATACTATAAGAAAGGGATTGGCAGCCGGGCTCGGTGGCTCAGCCTGTAACCCCGCGCCTTTGGGAGGCTGAGGTGAGTGGATTGCCTGAGCCCGCGGGTTCGAGACCCGCCTGGGCAGCAAGACCTCATCTCTACAATAAATCAAAAAATTAGCCAGGCGTGGTAGCGCATGCCTGTAATTCCGGCTACGCGGAAGGCTGAGGAGGAAGGATCGCCGGAGCCCAGCAGGTCGAGGCTGCGGTGGCCGGGAGCGGCCACTGCACTCCAGTCTGGGCGACCGAGTGAGA